TGGGGTACACCTGTGCACACCTGAACACACCTGCACACACCTGGGGTACACCTGTGCACACCTGAACACACCTGCACACACCTGGGGTACACCTGAACACACCTGAACATACCTGCACGCACCTGGGGTACACCTGTGCACACCTGAACACACCTGCACACACCTGGGGTACACCTGAACACATCTGAACACACCTGAACACACCTGGGGTACACCTGAACATACCTGCACGCAGCTGGGGTACACCTGTGCACACCTGAACACACCTGCATGCACCTGGGGTACACCTGAACACACCTGAACATACCTGCACGCACCTGGGGTACACCTGAACACACCTGCACACACCTGGGGTACACCTGTGCACACCTGAACACATCTGAACACACCTGAACACACCTGGGGTACACCTGAACACACCTGCACGCACCTGGGGTACACCTACACACACCTGAACACACCTGCACACACCTGGGGTACACCTGAACACACCTGAACACATCTGAACACACCTGCACGCACCTGGGGTACACCTGTGCACACCTGAACACATCTGAACACACCTGCACGCACCTGGGGTACACCTGCACTGCACCTGCACACACCCAGAACCATCCACACACCTGCACTGCACCTGCACTGACCTGCACACAGCTGCACTGCACACACACAGCTGCACACACCTGGGACTGTACCTGCACACACCTGGGACTGTACCTGCACACACCTGCACTGCACACATACATCTGCACACACCTGGCCGCGCACACACCTGGCCAGGTAAATAATCAGGCCAACAACGTCCCCAGAGCCCTGGTGCAGGTACGAAAGCAGCTCGTTTGCGGGGCAGGTGTGAACACCTGGAGCCAAGCCCTCGGGCAGGTGAGCCCTGCTCCCCGGCAGCCAGGTGTGGCAGGTGGGGCAGGTAGGGCAGGTGGGCAGGTGGGGCGGGTGGGCAGGTGGGGCAGGTGGGCAAGTGGGGCAGCCAGGTGGGGCAGGTAGGGCAGGTGGGGCAGG